CACTTCAAATGTATGCCAACCAACAACAACAATAATAAAAATTACTTCTTCTCTAAATGTAGTTCTATAACATAAATGGTCCTTCGTATTGCTACTCGTAAGAAAACGAATAATGACTCTCGTTAGTTTAATTTTCGTTCTTTTTCACAAGTAGACGAAGTTGTTATTATTAACATCGTTGTTGTTTATTTTATTCATTATTTATGTAATGACGTAACAACCAACAATTTTTTTTGTTTTTCTTTTTAAACACTTTGCATTTAAAATCCTCTTCTAGGAAATACAAAAATATTGTTAAACTTCATACACCTAAACTAATACTAACACATTTTTAATTTATTCTTTTTGTAATTAAAATAATTACTTTATTATCATTTTATTTAGTTTATTACATTATTTAGTTTAGTTTAATTTTATTGAAATGCTGAGACCACATCAAGGCTTTTTACAACATCTACAAAATCACAAGCTATTTCATAGAATTTTATAGAGGTTGGGTGTTAGGAAAGAAGTATAAGAGAATTGAGAGATAAATCTCAACCAAGAATTTTGGGTTTTGAGGGAAAACACTAACGTTTTAGATTTTGGTTTGTTTATTTATAATTTTGAATGAATAGTTTAAATATTGAAAAAGATTTGGTGGTAGCTTTATAAAGAATATTTTAATATAAAAAATTCTTTAAATTTAAACCAAATTTTATCTTTAATATTTGTCAATTTATCTCTTGGCTTAAAAAGAAAAGACATAAAAAATAAGTCTTAAACTTTAATGAACTTTTTTTATAGGAAAAACCATTTCAAATACTTAAGCTCATGAAACCAATATGGATTAAAAATAAATTAATTACAATTTTGCTGGATCTAAATGCAATATTCAATAAAACTTAAACAATCATTTAATGGATTTCGACCCAAAAAAAATAAAAACTGTTAAAAACAAACTTTTTTAGAAAAAAGTTACTTTTAAGCTGAAATTAACCTTTGAGGTTTTATTTTTTTAAAATCTCTTTTAACTTACAATTCGTTCACTTTTTCCTCGTTTTCTTTGCAGCATTCAAAAAGACAAAAATTTCATGTTAATCATACGCCCACAATTTTACATCACTCTACAATTATACAATTTTTTTCCAATAAAATGTAGCATTTTAATTCCTATGAAATAACATTTTCCTGAAATTTCTTAAAAAAAAAAAAAAATATGCAACTTAAATTGAAATTTTATTATTGTTTTATCTCTTTACAAAAAGAAATAAAAACAATTACCAATGAATTGATGCAAAAATAATTGGCAAATGAGAAAAAAAAATGTTGGTTTCAGACATTACTGCTTTTAATATGTTTAAATCGAAAGAGGAAAGAACAAAAGAAATGGTTAATAGTCTACGAAAAAAATAGACTTCCCTAAAGGAAACAGTTGTGAAATAAAACTGAAGTTATTATCATTAATTTCTTTTTTGTAAGGAAAAAAAAATACTCACAGTAAAAAAACAAGTCATTTAAGTGAGTGAAATAAAACGCTAATAGAAGTCTTTGTAATAAGATGGTAAAATTAATGATGCCATTTTAAAGTTCTATAGTGATTTTTATGAACGAAAAGTAATGCAGCAAAAAAACTGTAAATGAAATGAAAGAAATATAATGGTTAACAGAACACGAATGAATTTTAAGAAATTACAAAGTTTATAAGTAAGGAGGATATTTACGGCTTTGCCGAATCTTAAATTGAATGCTAATGTCGTAAAGCGTTCCAATATATGGATGTATATAATCATATTTTTCTGAACATGATGATTTTCGGAAGACATCCATTTAAGGGACTTTTGGTTAATTATGGGCCGAGTTTGATCCTCTTGAAATATAATGAAGAGATATTTGTTCTTATAAAACCAGTTTGTATCGAATTTCATAATGCTGGTATTTTTAAGCCAGTTATGAGCGTTAAAGTTATTTACTGAAGTAAAGATTGTATGGGATATTGTCCATTTTTAACTCTAAACAATCCCTAACTATTACACCGTATTACAATTTTACATTTTTTTGTTGGACTTGAACTACACTATACACATATGAAACCTTAGATCATATATAGTAGAACTGCGTTTTCAGTTTTTCATTTTGTGATCTTTTCTCCCTTTTAAAGGACTTCAAATTTTTAAGGATATACAAATTTCAATAAAATTATTTAAATAGTTCTGCTCATTAATTTTTCTTTATATGAATATAAAATGATAGAGAACATTTTCCAGAAATAGATACAATTTATTATTATTACTTTTCAGGACGAAAAGTTGTAAAAAATGTCCTTTGAAAAATGTATCCTTTTATATCCTTGAGAATTTCCAATATATTTTTTTAACACATGCTTAAATTTCGTCCTTATAGCTTTATAAGTTAAGCCTAAACAGAAAAAAACATATTATTAAGTTCATTAAAAAAAATAATTTTATCGATACAGCAATTAAGATTACAAAAATATTAGATAGTACTTTTTGGACTTGAACAAGTCCACACACACATGAAACTGGAGATCGTATATAGTAAATCTGCGTTCTCAGTTTTTAATTTTCTGATCCTTTCTTCTTTTTATACCCACCATCAAAAAAGATGAGGGGTATATTGATTTTGTCATTCCGTGTGTAACACATAGAAATATTGTTGACAGGCCCCATAAAGTATATACAGTTAATCTCAAAAATAAGTATACAGAAATACTGACAATTGGTTTTATTTAAAAAAGGATATTATTTTTTTAAAAATCAAAAAAGTAACATATTTATTTATTAAAACTAATTATGATAATTATTATTCACTACTTTTTTCCGGGTTATTTTGGTTACTTGAGTTCTCATTTAAGGTGTAGTTAAATAGGTACAAAATTTACGTCACAAAAGTAAGTATACAGATAATTTCATTTGGCTTAATGATATTAACAAAATTCATGAAAATTTTACCTGTTTGAATGTAATTATTTTATAATAAAATATTCTGTACACTATAACATGGAAGAAATTCACTTTTTGTTCCGAAAAATTGAAATTTTTGGTAATTGATCTGAATATTATTTATATTTAAGAACATTAAACCCCCGGAGTTTTGGATCGGGTATTCAATAATATCCCGTTTGTTCATTATGATGCATTGGAAGACGATATTTTAACTTTTAAATTAATTGTTTCTTTACAATAATTACAATCCATTGCGGAACATTGCCGTTTTTAACATAGTATAGCGTTCATATTCGATATTTAACGGCGATTTCCTAAAATTTATATCTTAAAATGCGATATTAATAATATTTGCACTAGTATCCATTAATTAAAACAAGTTTTTTGGTTCCAATCATCCATTACACACTCCTAAATACTACCAATAATCGTCAAATGGTGACCATGTCAATAACTTACACTACATATCGGTTCTGAAATTGATTATTGTCCAAAATAGTAAGATTTTTATATTAAATCAGGCTCAATTGGTGGTATGAATACGAATTGAACAATTTTGAACACGGATACATCTTAATTTGTTGCTAGAACAAATAAAATGTCCGATCCATAAAACATGGTTATTGTATCGAGTATATCAAGACATGATTGGTAGCATTATTGTATGCTTTGGAAATCGGAGTATTTGGAAAACCTGTTTAAATTAAAGAAAATATATAGAATTATCCAAATTTTAAAGTTTATGTTGTAAGTCTTAAGAAATCGGAGTTAAATTTCGGGTTTTTAAGAACGTACTGTGTTCAAAATGGCCAAATCCATGCATATAACATTAATTTCAAAATAACAACTCTTTTCAAAAGTTAAAAATTCTATTTCCAATGCATCATTTGTAGGGTTCAATGACCACCAGATCCACAATCCGGGGTCTAAAGTGGAAAAAAATCGTAGAAATGAGAAAAAACTGTTCTACTAATTAATTCCGGAGCCAATCGGCCCAAATTTCAAGATTTCGGAACTAAAAGTAGATTTTTTATTGTGTAAAAAATATTTTATTAAAAAGTAATTATATTAATACAAGTAACTCAAAGAACCAAAATATGAAGAAAAAAAGTAGTGAATAATAATTATCATAATTGTTTTTAATAAATAAATGTGTTACTTTCTTGTTTTTTGAAAAAATAATTAAATAAAACCAATCGTCAGTATTTCTGTATACTTATTTTTGTGATTAACTGTATATTCTAGGACCTCGTCTGTCCGTCTGTCTGTTGTTGGCACGATAGCGTCGACAAAAAAAGAGAAATTGAGATTAAATTTTCCCAAAATATTTTTTTCATCAGAAATGTTTGGTATTGAAAATGGGCAAAATCGGTCAACGATTTCACATAGCCCCCATACAAATGTACCCCCCGGAATATTGTGTAAAAAGCTTCAAACATTCACAATTTCGTTGTTTATGAAGCAAATGCCACAAAATTTCGCCAATAATGAGCGTTAAAGTCAGATGGACATCGTTAGCTTGTATATTTTTGGATTAACTACTAATAGTTATAAAGTTATAAAGTTAAAAAGTTAAAAAGTTATAAAGTTATAAAGTTATAAAGTTATAAAGTTATAAAGTTATAAGTTATAAAGTTATAAAGTTATAAAGTTATAAAGTTATAAAGTTATAAAGTTATAAAGTTATAAAGTTATAAAGTTATAAAGTAAAGTTATAAGTTATTATTTTTCAAAATTTAACATTCTAGTCTTATCACAATATTAATTAATATGGACGTTCGGATGGATATCGTTAAGTAAGAATCAAAAAGTAATTCTGAACCGATTTGCATACATTAAAGAGTATGCACCCCCCCTGTTTAGGTGGTTGCAACATCATAATATTCTTCTTTATATAAAGCTAATTATTTGTGGTGGTTTTTCTTAAAGCTTTTATTCTTCTCTATTTAAAAATGAGTTATTTTTTGTAAAAAAATTAAACATATTGCAACGTTTCCTTGTCAACAATTAAATTTAATAAAATCTACAATTTATTTATTTTATTTTTTTCTGTAGCATCAGCATGCAACATCAGCAGCCACACAACATTACGAATGAAATACAACCAATTTAAAATTCTAAAGAAAAGAATATAAGAAAAAACGCAGTTTTTTTCCTAAAATTTGTTGCGCTAACCAATAAGATGACAGTCAGAGTCTAGAGGAAAAATTTTTCTACATGTATTAACAACAAAAGTTTTTGAAAAAGGCTTAAGTGAGGCTGAGGGGAAGGTGGCAAGAAAGGCACCATAATAACGTACAACATTTTCAATTTTTCTAAGCTGCTGGTGGTTAAAGGGAAAAATAAAGAAAATGTAAGACATTCGCAAACATACAGAAAGACATCAACTATTTTTTTCTATAAAGTACAATAACAAAACATGGCTAATGTGCAACAAGGGCAACTATTATTAAAACAGCAGCAACAACACAAACATCATCAGCAACAACAGCAAACACATTTACAAAGTAAGTAGAAGGAACAAAATCTATTACTAACAACTAAATTTTATTTAATGTTTGATTCCAAAACGCAAAAAATACATGCAGCAAAATGTTGCAACAACAAAGTATATAGCAGCTACTGTTGCTTTTCTTAAAAGTCCAAAATATAGAGAAAAAGAAAGAACTAAAAAGTATTACAGCAACTTGATGATGTGGTGTCCATTTAACCGTGGCATCATCATCAGGGCAATTTAGTGTTACCGCCATTGCAACATTGAAAATTTAAACTTTTTTTACAAAAGCTAGTGAAATAAATAAGAGGGAAAATATATATTTTGTATGAAGAATAAGAAAAAAAGAAAAGAAAAAAAACATTAACAATAATGAAATTAAATTAAACCTTTCTTCTTACTTTATCAATTTTTACAAAAGAAGAGTTTTGTAGAAAAGAGATTTTTTGTTGCATACAGAAAGAATAAAAGAAAACTCTAATCCTGTGTGTAGTTAAGAAAAACTTGAAGTAACAATAAAATTTCGCTAGCATTGAAAAAAAGGTTTATCTTAAGACAGGATAATAGATTTTTTTTAAGTAGGAAATTTCTTTTATTAAATAAAACATTTTGTAAATTATTTTTTATAGCAATGTTTGAAATTTCTTAAGGCTATTTTACTTTTTCGAAAAAATATTAAATTTTGGTTAATTTTATTGGTTATATGTATAATAGATTAGACTATAGACTAGACTATAGACTAGACTATAGACCAGACTATAGAGTAGACTATAGACTAGACTATAGACTAGACTATAGACTAGACTATAGACTAAACTATAGACTAGACTATAGACTAGACTATAGACTAGACTATAGACTAGACTATAGACTAGACTATAGACTAGACTATAGACTAGACTATAGACTAGACTATAGACTAAACTATAGACTAGACTATAGACTAGACTATAGACTAGACTATAGACTAGACTATAGACTAGACTATAGACTAGACTATAGACTAGACTATAGACTAGACTATAGACTAGACTATAGACTAGACTATAGACTAGACTATAGACTAGACTATAGACTAGACTATAGACTAGACTATAGACTAGACTATAGACTAGACTATAGACTAGACTATAGACTAGACTATAGACTAGACTATAGACTAGACTATAGACTAGACTATAGACTAGACTATAGACTAGACTATAGACTAGACTATAGACTAGACTATAGACTAGACTATAGACTAGACTATAGACTAGACTATAGACTAGACTATAGACTAGACTATAGACTAGACTATAGACTAGACTATAGACTAGACTATAGACTAGACTATAGACTAGACTATAGACTAGACTATAGACTAGACTATAGACTAGACTATAGACTAGACTAGACTAGACTATAGACTAGACTATAGACTAGACTATAGACTAGACTATAGACTAGACTATAGACTAGACTATAGACTAGACTATAGACTAGACTATAGACTAGACTATAGACTAGACTATAGACTAGACTATAGACTAGACTATAGACTAGACTATAGACTAGACTATAGACTAGACTATAGACTAGACTATAGACTAGACTATAGACTAGACTATAGACTAGACTATAGACTAGACTATAGACTAGACTATAGACTAGACTATAGACTAGACTATAGACTAGACTATAGACTAGACTATAGACTAGACTATAGACTAGACTATAGACTAGACTAGACTAGACTAGACTAGACTACTAGACTAGACTATAGACTAGACTATAGACTAGACTATAGACTAGACTATAGACTAGACTATAGACTAGAATATATGTTTTGTGTGTATAACAATCATTCTACCAAATTTTTTTCGGATCGGTCCATTATTTGTCATAGCTCCTATATAAGGCCCACTTCCGAAAATCACTTAAACGCACATATGTAATTGTCAAATAAAGCTATCTTAATAAAATTCGACACAAATATGTTTCGTCTATATATGAATCACTGTACGAAATTTTTTCCGGATAGGACCATAATTGATTATAGCTCCCATATAAGGTCCACTTCCGAAAATCATTAAACGCATATATTTCTTTGAATAATAAAGCTATCGGGATAAAGTACGACTTGAATATGTTTTGTTTGCATACAAATCATTCTACAAAATTTTTTCCGGATCGGTCCATAATTGGTAATAGCTCCCATATAAGGTCTACTGCCGAAAATTTCTTAAATTAATTAATTTCATTAAATTCAAAAGCTATCGGTATAAAAATCAGCTTGAATATGTTTTGTGTATATATAAATCATTCTACTAATTTTTCCCCGGATGGACCCGTAATTGGTCATGGCTCCTATATAAGGCCCACTTCCGAAAATCACTTAAACGCACATATGTAATTGTCAAATAAAGCTATCTTAATAAAATTCGACACAAATATGTTTCGTCTATATATGAATCACTCTACGAAATTTTTTCCGGACAGACCCGTAACTGGTGATAGCTCCCATATAGAGTCCACTTCCGAAAATCACTGAAACGTATATATTTCTTTGAATAATAAAGCTATCGGGATAAAGTACGACTTGAATATGTTTTATTTGAATATAAATCATTTTACCAAATTTTTTCCGGATCGGTCTATAATTGGTAATAGCTGCCATATAAGGTCCACTTCAAAAAATCACTTAAACGCACATATTTCATTATCAAATAAAACTTTCTTGATAAAATTCGACACAAATATGTTTTGTGTCCACACATATGAATCACTCTACGAAATTTTTCCGGAGAGGCCCCTAATTGGTCATAGCTCATATATAAAGTGCACTTCCGAAAATCACTTAAACGCACATACTCCATTATTTAATAAATATATTGGAATAAAATTCGATTTGAATATTTTTTGCATATAAATCATTATACGAAATTTTTTCTTGATTGGTCCATAATTGGTGACAACTCCCATATAAGGACCATTTCCTAAAATTACTTAAACATTGACAATCAAAGTTATCTGAATAAAATTCGACATAAATATGTATTTTGTATATATATCACTTAATACCACTTAATTCATTATTAAATGATTATATCCAGATAAAATTCGATATGAATATGTTCTGTGTATACTACATTCTATTAAAATGTTTTCGAACTGGACTATTAATATACATTTTTCTGGACGTAATCAAAATTAGTTCCACATATGCATAAATGTTAGTACCCTCACAACGGAAACAAAAATTTTGCCAAGTTTTCTAAAAATGGGTTATCTAGTTAAATGAGTTTTAATAAAAAGTAGCTTGCTGGTGGATGGTATTTAAGATTTGGCATAGCCGAATATAGCACTCTACCTTGTTTTAATATGCCAAACTTATATTTTTCTAAAGGACTTGTCATTCGAAAATGAGTCCTTAAGAAGCACAATGAAAGTTAATTAAAAAATATATTTATTTTCTAATTTCTTGTTGATAACAAATCAAAAAATGTCTTTGACAAAGAAACCAATACAAAGGAACAAAGATAATGTCTCTAGAGTCCCTTTATAAAGTTACACAAATGTCGTATATATTGAGTTCTTATGTACGTCATTTATTATTCTCATTTAATAACGACATATTTTGGAATGCATTCTTCTTTATATGTATATCCTCCTTTTTTATTTCTTATTCATTTATACAACCATTGAATTTCTTTTTCTAATATTAAATGTGCCCTAAAAACTATGCTTTATTATTTTTGCAATATTTTCTCTTTTTTAACATTTCTTCTATGTTCATTATCCTTGAGAGCAAACTAATCAAGTTTATATTTTCTTTACAAAAAAATTGAAAAAAACTGTTAGACAAAAAAATAAATCTTAGTTATTAAATAAAAAATATATAAAAAACAATATTTTTCTATTCATTTTTTTAGACTTTTTTCTGTTTGTGGCAATATTATTGTCAATAATTGCATGTGTGTGTGTGTTAGAATGTATCTGTGTGTTGCTGCTTGTTTAAGAAATTTTTTCTTCTGTGATTATTTTTTTTATGAAATGTTGTTCCTGTTGCTGTTGCAAATACCCTGCAGTTGTTTGCCTAACATTTGGTGCTGCAACAGCAGCATTATACTATTAATATTGTACTGGGGAATTTTTACTTCAAATGTGTTTAAATTTACATGCAAACAGACACAAACTCATACACAAACTATCAAATGTTTATTTTCAGAACATGACACAAAACATACGACTCATGTAACTGAGCAACAAGAAAAAGTAAGAATGAAACAATAATCAGGCATACTCGACTTTTTTGATACCCTATGCCAGCCATGCATTAATAAAGAGCAATTTTTAGAGCTTAAGGCAATCACATCGTTTCTGCTATGTGTATAACTAGTACCCAGTAAAAACTTTCATTACCATGTAAGGGGTTAAAATGCTAAAATTTACTTACACAATAGCATTTTAAGTCATTATTTTAACACGGTGATGTCATTGGAGGCAAGTACTTACCACAAACGATTACAAGTAATTAGAAAAAGTAGTCATTGTAAATCGCATGAAAAAACGTATACAGCTTCTATATCTTTACTGGCAAGATGACTAATGAATTAGAAAGTATTTATATAATACATTATTAGTAAGACCTTATTAGACCACTTCTATGTAATCCAGGCGATATGTAGTAGTCATTGAAAAGTATGTTGTTAGGTAAGTAATTACAATTGAAAGCTATTACCCAGTTTTTGCTGGGTATGTATTATTTTTCGTCGTTATAGTGTATATATCACTATACATGAAAAGAATATGTACCTACATACTACTGTTTGTTTTAGATGGAAATACATACATTCACATCTATAGAGTTTATAAATACATTTTAAGAGCATATATGTATGTCCGTATCCTTTCTATCATTCATTCAACCAACCATCAATTCATTGACATTCACATTCATTATTGATTGCATTTTTGGAACAATATTTTATGATATTAACATTTATACATTACTCAAATGTATACATGAGA